AAGGCGAGACAGCAATGTGTGCTTGCAGCCCAGAAAGCCAATTGTATCCTGGGCTGTATCAAAAGCAGTGAGACCAGCATGTTGAAGGAGGGGATTCTGCCCCTCTGCTCTGCTGTCATGAGACCCCTCCTGGAGTACTGTGGTCAGCTCTGATTCCCCCAACATAAGAAGGACGTGGACCTGTTGGAGCGAGTCCAGAGGAGGGCCACGAAGATGATCAGAGGGCTGGAACACCTCTCTTGTGAAGACAGGCTGAGATAGTTGTGATTGTTCAGCCTGGAGAAGAGAAGGCTCCACAAAGACCTTATAGTAGCCTTCCAGTACCTGAAGGGGTGCTACAAGAAAGCTGGAGAGGGACTGGGCATGTCATGATAGGACAAGGGGTAATGGTTTCAAACTGAAAGACAGTAGATTTAGATGAGATATGACGAAGAAATTCCTCCCTGTGAGGGAGGTGAGGCACTGGAACAAGTTGCCCAGAAAAGCTGTGGATTCCCCCTCCCTGGAAGTGTTTGAGACCAGGTTGGATGGGACTTTGGGTAACCTGGGCTAGTGGAGGGTGTTCCTGTCCATGGCAGGGGATAGGAGCTACGTGATCTTTAAGGTCCCTTCCAACCCAAACCATTCTATGTTTCTATGATGCTATGACTCTATGATTCTATGATTCCATGATTCTATGAATTCTTATTTTCCCTTGTGCATTCAGCATTCATTCTTGTTCTGAATTCAGCCCTCTCTCCTACACTGTAATACTCCCAACTCTCCTGCCTACTCTTCCTCTCTTCATACATTCATGCATCTGAAATTCATGCCTTTTCTCCATGCATCTATTTCGAATTCCCTCCCACTCAACTTCCCTTGCTCCACAAAACTGCACCAGGATCACTATCTATCCCTGTCCCTATTGGCACATGTCCCCGTTCATTTCGGTCCAGCTCTGTCTCACTGTCACTTTTTCTGACCATTTCTCTGGGAAAAGAGCTGGGTGATCTTTTGTGATTTTTTGTCTTTCCTTCTTCTTTCTCAGCAGTGGCTCAGGGCAGAGTGCAGGTGCAGCAGGAGCCATTAGCAGAGAAAACTAAAAGGGCACCGGCATCAACATCACCTGCTCAAACTCCAACATACAGTAAACTGAGTTCATCCACTGATACTGTTGGCTCCCCAGCATTCCAGAGAGTAGTCTAAAAGGTTCCAAAGTGCTGCTGGACCCACTGGAGCAGCTGTCAGTGGTGGCAGATCACTGGTCCAGTGCCCTGTGGTGGATACACCTGGAGAGGAGCATAAACTGCCACAGTTAGGGCTCTGTGTGTGTGATAGAGGCAAGGGGACAGCCCTGGCTGAACACACCTGGGGGTGCTGCTGCTCTGCCTGCCAGGGCCTCCTTGCCAATCCCGACCCTGGAAGAGGGAAAGTTCAGCACTGTCCCCTGCCTCAGCTGGGGACTGTTGTGGCAGCTGTTACTATACTACAAGGGAACTCCTGGCAGCTTTGCAGTCACTGGAAAGCAGAGCGCACTCCACTGTCCTACTGCCATGGTCTCAACAAACAACAGGATGCTGAAGGCCTTGTGGGAGCAGGGTTGTGAATGGGGGCTGCTATGCTGATCACCTGCTTCCTGCAGTCCCTGCCCAGCATGTGAGCAAAGGTCCCTGGGCGAGCAGTGGCAGAGGAGCCCTGCTCCAGGCAGCAGGCAGCAAAAGACATTAAAATCAAGTGGCCCTTATGCTTGCCTGAGTATTGGGGTTCTGGGGCCCAGGGTGGGACAAGCGGCTGGAGGTTGTGGGTAATGTGGGTAGGCGAAGGGACACAGAGGGACTGCCTGTACAACAGAGAGCTGTGTTGCAGAGTCTTCTTCCTGCCAGAGGGAGGGAGTGTGTCTGTCCCTGTGCGGCTGTTTTCTGCAGCAGGTGCTCTTTACAGTTGTGTTTCTCTTCAGGTGCCTCCTCTATGGCCAGAGGTGA